TCTTAGAATTAAAAATGCTACGGCGTTAAACCAGCAGGACTAAAAATGCAATTGTGCCGGTGGTTCACTAACTTGTTGTTGATACCCAATTTGGCTCCTATTTATTAAATGATAAACGAAATAAAAAAATACGACCCGATAACCGGGGAGCCGATAATACGAGATAAATAAATATACAAGCAGGAACACAAGACTGATCATCTAAAAGCCGACCCGGCCTCAGATGTCAAACCCGCCCATTGCCGAGAAGACCAACGTTAATCGGAACCGCCAAAAGTCATAAGCGGGTCCCACCATGATTATCTCATATTAAATAATGGTGTAATATTTTTTACTTATTTACTCTCCCACTTGTATAAAAGGGCCATATATATAAATGGCTTAACAAAAAAGAAAGGGAGGGGATTTACTTTCTTCTTCCTCCAACATGAAGAGAGAGCATTAGACTCTCCAAAAATAAATAAAAAATGACCCACTTTAACTATTTTGTTCTTCATTTTACATAAGGCAATTCGATTTATATTTGACAGTTGATCGTCCGATTTTCGACTTCAACACTTGTATTTTGTTTTGTTAGGAGACTTGTCACCCAACAAGGCAACTATATGGGTTTCCTTCTTTTTTCTTTTTTTTCTTTATTTCCTTTATTTATTATTTGTCTTTTTTTTATTTTTTTTATTTTCTGGGAGCGACAAATTATACTAATAAAGTATATAATTACTAGCGACTAACTAGTCGAATTAAACAACTAAACAACTGAATTCAAAGAGACGCCTAAAGGACAAGAATGCCTTTTACAAAAGTAGTTACTTACACTCCCACAAGTGAAGAAAGCTCCAATAATGAAGAATACTAGCTCAAAAAAATTGAAAATACAACCGAGAACAAAATACAAAAAACACTAAACACAACCGCTAAACCACTAACTAAACTAGAAACACAAAAACAACACAAGAACACTGATGAATCTCCTCATAAATCTGGAGTAAACCAGTTGGAATGAGCTCAGATTTGCCTGAACCGCTTCTAGATCATCACAAACACCTTCAAGAACTCAGCTCCGGAGGGGTTTCCGGCGTAGAGCCTTCGATGCTTAAGTCTGTATCCAGAAGAAAGGAATGTTCTGCAAAGAATATAGCAGGATATAAAATGTGTAGAGAATGTAAAAACTAGGGTTTGGTGTTACCTCATCCCTTTTTATAGAGAACGATACCTGCCCAAAATACCCCTGATCGACCGGCCCATCATAATCCGTTAATCCCCTTTGAATATTGAAGTGGCTTGAATTATCGTACACCTCGAGCCACGAGGTGTAGAAAGTCGACCTCGAGAAATGAGAGGTCGGCTTAGAGTTATATCATACATATATATCTTAGGTCTCACCACTTATCCTTTAAGTCGTCCATGTGTCCTTAGTGTGACAAATCAACTTCAAGTCGCTAGGTCCGTAGAATCGACCTCGAGGGGCATGAAGTCGATTATGACCAAGGTGAGAAAACCATTGTTGGAGCAGGTCTTTTCGAAGTCGTCGTGGATACAACCTCGAGTTGCGTAATGAGTGAGCTTAAACTCGAGCTACGAGATGACTGGAGTAGAACTCAAGATACCTAAGGTCGACTTATCTAGATAATGATGATAGTTCTTCTACCTATTCGATTCTCAAGCCTCTCGAGGGTTTGAGCTACTCTCTGCCGATGTCGAGTTATAAGGTTAACTTGTTCCACCAAGTCGTCATTCCCTGAACTAAGACGAGTTGCTCTACTTACACTAGGTAATTCCATCACTTAGACTGGCACTGTCTCAGCTCGACTTAAAGTCCCGATCGATCTATTGTCATCGGTTTACGCGAGTATGGCTATATCACACACATAAACCAAAAAACAAAACTACTAGAATAAAACCCTCCTTAAAGTCGTGAAACTTATCCAACATCTTACTTCAATCACCCAAGAAAAGCAATCCCACAACCTAAGCACGGAATTAGAAACTCCCTTCACCGAAACAAAGAGACAACTAACTAGTTTGGGCCAGGACCCAGACCCCCTCCCACAAAGACCACCACCGGACAAGCACGTGAAACCTGCGTCAAAATCCTCCCTAACACAACCTGGCGACCGCAGTGTAGATCGACCAGAGTCAAGAACCACCGACACGAGATGAATCCGTCCTCCTAGCTCTAGGGAAAAATAAATAAAACGGGGAGAGAAAAAAAATGCAGGTCTCATCCCCGACCACCACACGCTGTGATTGGATCCAACTGCAACAAAAATACCGCCTTGTACTCGGAATCCACTCTACAGTCTGTTTTAATTTTAACTTTATTGTTTTTATTGCATCACTTTTAGTACGAATCAAGTTGAATTGCCTCCGCCGTGAACCTCCTTCGTCTTTTAACTCCGGTGACCTGCAATACGCCAGAAGGATGTCCTGGTGGAAAACCTCTGACGCTCAAGTCAGAACTTTCTCGACAAATATATACGAATATACAACTTAAGGCGTAGAATGCGGAATCTAAATGAAGGAGAATCTAGTACCCTTGTATATGGTAGTTGTTTTGATGCCCAAGAGAGTCCTTGTTATGAAAAAGATCCAACTAGTTCTCATTTTCTGACTTACCACGTCTCTATTTGGGCAAGTCTTCTTGAGCAAGTGATATTTTCCTTCTTACTAAGATTCTTTTGCCCTTATTGTATACCTAGGCCGTAACCACAACCTCCTGACCTACTTGATGTCACTTAACTGAGGTCGAACCTGAACTCATCCTATGGTCTAACCTGACCTCAAGTCTTACGACCTCAATACCTCGAGGTCGGTACTTTCAGATCATCTTTCTTCAGATCGACCAGTACCCTAAGCCCGAATGCTAATTGATTTATCATCACATTTTTTGTTTTGCTTTGTGAAAGATTTCAAAGAAATTTATGTTGATAGACTTATAATTGAAATAGGATAATTTGCTTGTGGAATTTCTTGTCATTATTCCACGCAATCTAATGCAAACCCTCGAATAGGATATATTTATCTATAATATACAATCTATATCTATATCTATAACTCTTTTAAAAGGATGAGTAATTTCTTGAAAGTTTTGAATTGTCCATACTACACTCAAAAGATGTTATTTTAAAGGACATAAATGTAATTTATGATTTTAAATCATAGTTAATAATGATGAATTGCAACTCATA